CGCTATGAGAAATAAACAAGGTCACTACAAAGAACAGTGCCTGGCACCTGGCCGGGGCTGCTGGGGGCCTGGCACTAACTTATCACTGGACCAGAGGCTTTGGGTCCCATCACATTTTGAGAAATTAAAGTCATTAAGTTATCACTCAGAAGTAGTTCCTGGGCCCTGCTTCAAGTTGTTGGGGGTAGAAGGGACCCTACAGAAAATCTTAGAGGTGAGATGTGCTCTGCAGGGGCCCTAAGTTTCTCAGGTGAACCTGAGACCAAGCGGAGAGAGTAACGACCCCCACAACCCCAACCCCAACCCCACCCGAGGAACCTCTGGCTCTGTCTAAACAGGGTTCAACATATGATCTCATCGCGAACAAAGCTTCTGGTAAAAAGATGAAAACAACTGAGCTCTTTTAAAGATGGAGAAACTGAGGCCACTCAAAGAGGGAAAATAACTGGCCAGTGCATCTCGGCAGAACCAAGAAAAGAGGTCTGTGCCAGGATCGTTTGGCCTGTTCATCCCCCATGTGCCTCATGGGTCCGTTGAGTCCCCAACCAGAGCACATGCTCCTTAAGGCTGTGGATCGAGCCAGGTCTCTCTGCAGGCCCATGTCTTCCTCAATAGCTAGAGCTTTTCCATCAGTGATCAAAAAACAGATCCCAGGGCTGTGGGTGGTTGGCTTCTCCTAGATTTCAAGAATCTTGGTTAGTTGGTGTGAGTGACTTTTCCCTCGTGGCAGGTTTACACCATGTCTGGGAGGGTCAGCCATCATTCATCTGCCTGGGACCCCCCTGATCAGCGCCTTCCTCTCCCCCGTCACCCCTGAGCTACACTGCAGCCCCCAAAGACCGTGTCCCCTGCACCCCCCACCCACCTGCTGGGCTGCCCTTGTGTGCCCCAGCCCCGCTCTCTCCACACTGCTCTGCTGATAATTCCATCTCAGCCACGTCCCTCATTAGCTCTAATGAGCCCTGCTAAGGGCAGAGGGACCTGGGTGACCTTTTAATTATGCCTGTAATTGCTTCCCAGTGAAAGGATGTGTGGGAAACCTAAATTCCTCTGTAGACACTCAGGGGAGAGGGGCAGAGTTTCCACCGGGAACAGCCATACTGGGATCCCCAGGTAGAATGTGGGTGTGCAAAGGGTAGGGGGTGAGCAAGGAGTGGGGGCAGTGGGTGGGTGGGGTCATCAGGTCCCACACCCAGGGCAGACACACCCCCGACCTCATTTCCGAGGTACTGAAGCTTCCATGTGCCCAGGAGAGGCGGTGGTAAGAAGGGCAAGGGCTTTGAATTAAAAAACAGATCCCAGGGCTGTGGGTGGTTGGCTTCTCCTAGATTTCAAGAATCTTGGTTAGTTGGTGTGAGTGACTTTTCCCTCGTGGCAGGTTTACACCATGTCTGGGAGGGTCAGCCATCATTCATCTGCCTGGGACCCCCCTGATCAGCGCCTTCCTCTCCCCCGTCACCCCTGAGCTACACTGCAGCCCCCAAAGACCGTGTCCCCTGCACCCCCCACCCACCTGCTGGGCTGCCCTTGTGTGCCCCAGCCCCGCTCTCTCCACACTGCTCTGCTGATAATTCCATCTCAGCCACGTCCCTCATTAGCTCTAATGAGCCCTGCTAGGGGCAGAGGGACCTGGGTGACCTTTTAATTATGCCTGTAATTGCTTCCCAGTGAAAGGATGTGTGGGAAACCTAAATTCCTCTGTAGACACTCAGGGGAGAGGGGCAGTTTCCACCAGGAACAGCCATACTGGGATCCCCAGGTAGAATGTGGGTGTGCAAAGGGTAGGGGGTGAGCAAGGAGTGGGGGCAGTGGGTGGGTGGGGTCATCAGGTCCCACACCCAGGGCAGACACACCCCCGACCTCATTTCCGAGGTACTGAAGCTTCCATGTGCCCAGGAGAGGCGGTGGTAAGAAGGGCAAGGGCTTTGAATTATGACGTTCTGACTCTAATACTGATTAATTCTGTAGCCTTCCTGAGCACATTTCTTCACCTGGAGAACGGGAATACCAGGAGTCTACCTCACTGAGCAGCGAGGTTGGACCAAGAACATGGGGCTATAAGCTGATTCTCCAGGTCGAATGGTAAAAGGGGAGAAGAGGAAAGGGGGCCCCTTTTCCCAGCCCCACCTGAGTGAGCCCAGTGCAGAGGCCTGTGGTGACAGCTCCAGTGCACGTGGACCCGCGGGGTTTGTGAGAACACAGCCTCCCTCATCCTAACCCCACATCCCCAAGCCCTGCAGGAGCGGCAGGCCTCTCATTCTACAGAAGAGGAAGAGGTACAAAGCAGCTAAGTGACTAGGTGCCCAAGGGCCCCAATTGATAAGTGGCAGTTGGGACACCTGGGTCCGAGCCCCAAAAGGCCTGCCCAGCAGAGGGGCACAGGGGCCTTTGTCCTTCCCTGAGGCTGGAGAGCAGAGCAGGAGGGGAGTCACGGGACAAGGGCAGCCCCAGATTCTCCCCACCCCGCACCTCCCCCATCCTGAAATAACCCTCCCCCAAAGCAGAGACAGATGCCAGGCGTGCTACAGCGCTTTTTTTAATGTCTCCTCGCTGTTTTAACAATATCATGAAAANGCCAGGCGTGCTACAGCGCTTTTTTTAATGTCTCCTCGCTGTTTTAACAATATCATGAAAAAAACCCCACAGTTTAGAATCTGGAACTGATGGGCATGGGTTTCAAGGGCAGCTGGCGGGGGCTGCACAGCCCCTCGATTCCTCCCCCACCGTGGGAGCTAAGCTACTGGAAACAAAGCACCAAGGGGGTACTGACTGAGTCAGGAACTAAGTTAGTGTCTCAGAGTCAGGATCTGGCAAGACGTGGAAGGCCAGAGCAGCTACGCCCGCCAGGCCCACCGGTTGGCTGAAGCCCGGGTTGCACTTAGTTCTGTCTGTCCCTCCCTCTACTGGCTTTGTGCAGACCAGGGAGATGGGTCAGCCTGTTCCCAGGACAGAAAAATGATCAGCAGTCAACCCTGGGGCTCACACCCAAGCTTGCAGTCACTTCCCTTGGGTCGAGTTACAGGATGCAGAGTGAAACTTGAATTTCAGAAAAACAACAAATAATTTCTCGTATGTTTCAGGTATCGCATGGGACACATTAACACTAAAACATTGTCTTTGTGTACCTGAAATTCAAATTTAACCCAGCATTCTGTTTTTGTTTTGTTTGCTAAATTTGGCCACCCTACCCTTAGGGACTTTGTCCCACCCTACCCTGGGGGAGGGAGCCTGAGACAGGAAGGGGAAACAGTCAGTACAGAGGGTGTGCAGGGAGGG